AAATACCAAGAAGAAGTCGACAACGACGGCGTCGACAAAGTTGAAGGCTCCACCTGGGATCACCGCAACAGTGCAGCATTACTAAAAAATGCCGCAGAAGGCGAACATTTTCTGTCTAATGCGTGGAGCGAAGCCCAGCGCAAATTGTTACAACGAAATCAGTTGGCGTATCCAAACGATTCGGAGGAAAAAACCAAGGATGACCCCAATGTGGACAATCAGCGTATCCAGGCCTAAATTTCTATGTATGGGATTGGAGGGGTTGAAACCTACTCAAGCCGTTTCATACCACCAACGCAACCTACAGCGGGTAAAGCGTTGCATCAAGTACCAAAGCGTTTGGCCTCGGCGCTGGAGACCGGTACTTCTTCGGCTAAACATGCGAAAACGCAGTTGGTCAGCTACGCAACGAATCGTGGAAAGGACAAAGAAACCGTGTTGAATCGTCACGGAAGCGCCGGAAGCAACCCCCCATTGCGAAAACAAAACTGACCGTCAAAGCTGCCAAGATAAAGGAAGCTCGGCAAAAGCAGCGTGCGAAGAAATCTCAAAAGTGGTCAGCTGAAGAGGAACCGCATGTGGAAGACTTCCTGATGGAATTTGTTCCCACTCAGCCTCCGATCATACCCGAAGGCCGTGCAATGAGCCGTGAAGAGATGAAGTTGCTCCTCGCTACATGCACAGCAGCGAGGAGCAACTTCAACACCGATGAAACATATTTCCGGCGTTCAGTTCGCGGTACACTGCCACGATACAGCGAGTGATGGATCTGCACAACCCATTGGCAAGAACGTATGCCACTGCCAAAAAATGTCTGCATCGAGCGGAACGGACAGGAAATCGAGGGTAATCTTCAAATTGTCCTGAAGGATGTTGGTAGGGTACAGGCTCAAACAGACGACTTGCCTACCGTGGCTCAGCTTGCGGTAATCATGGAGGTAGCCGGCTGCGAACTGACAGAAGTTCGTCACGTGGTTCTGCAAAGTCTAAACTCCACAACGTCGACATCAAGTACATCGTGCCTTCAAGCTTCACTGGCGGCAAGCGTTACATGAAGAAATACTACTTCAACGCCATGACTATTGTGTTCAAGTACGGGAAGCCATGTCTCTTCGTGACCATGATCACCTTGGTCAATGATATTCGTACAATTCCCTAATCAATAGTAAAACAGTTCCCCTGTTGCTTTTCTCAGAAAACACTGCAATATGAGGGTTTATATGGTACTTTGTATGCTCAGGCATCTCAGGCAACTCACCTCTTACTAGGGGTTAAGTGCATCTCTGTGGTTAGCGATAGCTAACCACTAGCGCTGCAGTTAACCCCGGAGATTTAGCATCATATGTACGTACTGGGGGTAGGACGGAGTCCCAGCTTACAGCGCTACGGGCGAGAAGGTGTATCCGGATGTGGCATATTACTTGGAATGTCCACTGCCTGGAGGCTTGATCATTCGTCAAGAAGTGTAATGGGTAGTTTATAGATGGAGGGCAGCATGCGACTGTAACTACATAATTCCCGACGAAGGCCAATCGCAACTAGTGCATGGGTCTACGAGTACTCTACCGGTATTCCACATGCCGACTTCAATTTCTCATCGAGATAGATTTGTGGATCACCTTGGTCAATGATATTCGTACAATTCCCTAATCAATAGTAAAACAGTTCCCCTGTTGCTTTTCTCAGAAAACACTGCAATATGAGGGTTTATATGGTACTTTGTATGCTCAGGCATCTCAGGCAACTCACCTCTTACTAGGGGTTAAGTGCATCTCTGTGGTTAGCGATAGCTAACCACTAGCGCTGCAGTTAACCCCGGAGATTTAGCATCATATGTACGTACTGGGGGTAGGACGGAGTCCCAGCTTACAGCGCTACGGGCGAGAAGGTGTATCCGGATGTGGCATATTACTTGGAATGTCCACTGCCTGGAGGCTTGATCATTCGTCAAGAAGTGTAATGGGTAGTTTATAGATGGAGGGCAGCATGCGACTGTAACTACATAATTCCCGACGAAGGCCAATCGCAACTAGTGCATGGGTCTACGAGTACTCTACCGGTATTCCACATGCCGACTTCAATTTCTCATCGAGATAGATTTGTGGATCACCTTGGTCAATGATATTCGTACAATTCCCTAATCAATAGTAAAACAGTTCCCCTGTTGCTTTTCTCAGAAAACACTGCAATATGAGGGTTTATATGGTACTTTGTATGCTCAGGCATCTCAGGCAACTCACCTCTTACTAGGGGTTAAGTGCATCTCTGTGGTTAGCGATAGCTAACCACTAGCGCTGCAGTTAACCCCGGAGATTTAGCATCATATGTACGTACTGGGGGTAGGACGGAGTCCCAGCTTACAGCGCTACGGGCGAGAAGGTGTATCCGGATGTGGCATATTCCCTCATTAAAACTGTATTGCAGGTCAAAACAACAGTGGAACAGTTTTAATGAGGGAAGTATTCATGATATTCCACAATCGCAACTAGTGCATGGGTCTACGAGTACTCTACCGGTATTCCACATGCCGACTTCAATTTCTCATCGAGATAGATTTGTGGATGGCACCTTGGTCAATGATACTAAGTAATATTCGCTATAGGAATCTCTTTGTGGGAATCCGGTTGATTGCGTTGAACGACTTGCAACGCTCTGATCTTCGCTTGAATGGTTGACATTTTACACGACATACAACGCCTGGTCTTCGCTTCAATAGTTGACATTTTTGGCCAACTTCATTTTCCTTTGTGCTCTGAGATGGTCAAAGTCCTCATCTCCCTCAGTGTGTTGGCCGCTGCCGCTACGGCTGGGTCCGTCACAGAACTCCCCGAATCTGTGACCAAGCTCATCGACTACTCCATCAACCCCTGCGACGACTTTTATCAATATGCGTGTGGTGCGTGGCACAATGATGCTGTGATCCCCCCGGACGAACACCAAGTCGATACGTCGTACGCCAAGATCTACAGCGAAAATGAAGCCGTGTTGAAGACGATTTTGTCTGACTACAAGCCTAAGCTTGGTGAATTTTACAACTCTTGTTTGGACACGGCTACGCTATCATCGCTGGGCCTGACTCCGCTGGAGGACTCGTTCAAAGCCATTCGGTCGGCCAACACCACGTTGGACCTCCTCATCGTGGCTGGTAAATTGGCCAAGAACGACATCCCTGCGTTCGTGGACATCAACTCCAGCTTAGACGACAACGATGTGACCAAGCACGCCCTCTTCGGTTACCGAGCCCCCCTGTCGCTGGATCGAGAGTACTACACCAACCCTTCAAATTGGAAGGCCGTCGAAGCCGACTACAAGGTGTACATTGCGTCGGTGTTACAGCTAGCTGGCTACACTGCTGAGAAAGCGGCGGCTGCCGTGCCAGTGATCATCCGTTTCGAGCAAAGTCTGGCCGGTGTCTCCCTCAGCGAGCTCGAGGAGATGGAGCCCGTTGAGTCTCCCTATACTGCATTGACGTTCTACCAACTGGACCAGAAGTACCCACTGCTGATCGGCTCGTGGCTCAAGGCCAACGGCTTCAACGTACGCGACCAGTGCGGTGGGTCAAACGACTGGGTGGGGTTTTACTACTTGACCTACTTTGACAAGGCCGAAGTGTTGTTGAAGAACACGACGCTGGACAACCTCCGCACCATCGTGGAATACAAGCTCATCCATGCCTCGTCGAACCACTTGACTCCTGAATTCCGCACGGCCAACTGGAACTTCTTCGGCAAGAAGATCGATCGCAAAAGGGAGGAACCTTCTCGTGAAAAGTTCTGCCTGACTCAGACGAGCTCCAAATCCACCCTCGGGTATCTCTTGGGCCAGTACTTCTTAGACGCGATGTGGTCGGCTGATACGGCCAAGACGGCCAACGACCTGGTGAAGGCCTTGAGGTCGTCCTTCTCCACTGGCATTGCCACCGCCGACTGGTTGGACAACTCGACCCGCGCCAACGCACAAACGAAGCTGTCCAAGCTTGTACACTTGTTGGGTGGCCCGGAGAAGCCGCAGCTGTACCCCACGCTGACGTTGGACTCGAAGTCGTATCTGAACAACCGGTGGAAGGTGTCTCAAGTGAACATCGACACCAATTTGAAGCTGAACGGTCAACCTGTGGACAGGCGCAGGTTCAACATGGCCCCCCATGAGGTGAACGCGTACTACAACAGATACGTAAACCAAATTGCGTTCCCGGTCGGCGTTTTGCAAAAACCGTTCTTTGACGGCCAGTTTGACGCCGCCCAGAACTTTGGTGCCATCGGGATGGTAATCGGACACGAAATTACCCACGGGTTCGACCACTTGGGCCGCAATAACGATGGCGACGGCAACGTGAACCCATGGTGGTCGAACACCACCAGCACTGCGTTCAAGACGAAAGCCCAGTGCATTATCGACCAATACTCCAACATTGTCGTCAAGAGCGAAGTGAATGGCACTGTATTGGGCAACATCAGCGGCAAGATCTCTTTGGGCGAAACCATTGCGGACAACGGGGGGCTCAAGACCAGTTTCCGCGCGTACCACGAGTACTTGAAGGAGTTCCCGTCGCAGTACACGGAAGAAGCAGGCGACAAGTTGTTCTACTTGTCGTACGCCCAATCCGCGTGCTCCAAGAACACGGATGCCTACCTCCTCAGATCTTTGAAGCAGACGCACCCGCGCGGTCGGTACCGCGTGACAGGGGCGTTGCAAAACAACGCTGAGTTTGCCCGTGTGTTCCAGTGCCCCACCGACTCGTACTTGAACCCGTCCAAGAAGTGCTTGTTGTGGGAATAGGGTTGATCGATACGGAAATAAATACTACAAAGTTTATATACTCCGGAGTATACCGGTAGGTAAAGTACAGTAGCTGCTGCGACAAATATATCCGACAACCACCTGATTGGTTAAATGTTGAAGCTCATTGGCGGATGTCTCGTCCATTTCAATTCAACGACCTAGAAAAGTATCTCGGTTTTTTCGAATGTATCGACGTACGGAGTCCTGGTTGCTGCATGGGGTCTACAGTACTGTCTGTACAAGACGTACTAGTGCACTGCATAACGTGGAGGAATTGTAATTGCCTTGGTTAACGTTACTTTGCTTTGCGCAACACAAGCCATTCATCCAGCTGCGACTACATAAATGCCCAAATGGACTTGTACACGTTTAGGCGAAACATGAACTCGAACACCCCCACATCAATCTCGTGCATGTACTTGTCTTCCAGAGTGCCTCTGGCGCCATCGCATGCAAGGGACGCCGTAAGCAAGGTCCATCCAATCACGACGTTCCATACATGTTGCGAGTATTGGCCTGTGCTTTCAATTCCGAGGGGGGCGCTTGGGGGGGAAGGGAGGCTTCGCTGGACGTTTGAGAGGCCGTGCCCGCGAAGAAGAGGGAGACACCAGCAGATAGGACGAACACGGGCATGTACTTTTCGACGGTGTATCGCTTTCCAAGGCACACGCCGAGAACCATGACCGGGATGCCTTGCTAGATTTCACGAGCACCCTTGTTATGTACGACACGAATTGCAACGCACACACTGAGGTCGCACCAGACTAAAACCCCAAAAGTGAGATGAACAAGTACAGGTTTCTCGGCATTTTCGATCGAACGCGTTTGTGCATCACTCGCTTGACACCCCATGCGAATACGGCGCAAACGACGGACGTACTGAGCTTGAGGGACGTTTCGCCAATAACGGAGGCACCGACAAGGCTTTCGAGTAGCATACCGTCTAGGGTGCACCATGTCAGGACGCCAAAAAGCACAACAACAGGAGTGGGGTTCGGGGGGAAGGAGGAGGACTCAATGTTTCAGGGGTGTGGGAACCGCCTTAGCCTCGCATTTGGCCATTGTTAGGTTAAAAGTCAAGAGTACAATGATAATGCAGTGTATAGCAGTATGAGCTGGTGGCAGTTTCGAGCAGAACTGCTCGACAGGTTAATCGGAAACTCAAGGAAGTGTAGACAGGGCCTTGAAGCGGCCACACCCACAAGCTATTGTAGTCTTGGGGAAGCCACTGTATAATCCAACTTCTGCTTCGAAGATGGAAGGAGCAAACACGTGTCACACTGCTCGTGTCCGGGAGTATTTCTAGCATGTGGACAAGTGCGACTTTTTACAATAATTGAACTATTCTCAAATGTCTATCATTTCGTTTTTGAAATACGAAGTCGCTGCCGACAAACACCGCGATGTTGTAACTCGCAAAAACTGGCTCGTAGATATTGAGACAAGGTCGTATGACCTGGGACACCATTGTGTGCACGATCCTCAAACGAACATTAGCGTATTCAACGCTATGTCTCCATGATAGTGGGTTCATCGAAGACTTAGCTAGATTTAGCTTGCCCCCGCCGGGGGCTAGCACGTACGGAACAACATTTGAGTTAAAGTACAGTATATATTATATTGACCCATGTAATTACGAAGGGCCAAGTCTGATGATGGAATTGTTTTGACTGTAAAAAACTACCATTTCAGCCAAACCAGCGCTTCTTGATATTCGAGTGCCAGTGTACCCTTGTGAATGTCAGGTTGTTTAATGTTTTGTCTTTGAATTACAGTTACACTGCCGTGGTAGAGCTGCACGATCGAGTCGCGGTGGCAGACGCTTGATCCCATCGCACCAGGGCTTGCATGGCCTTGACATTACCCACTCCTCCATTCATATTGACCCCATCGTCGCATTCCAATGTCGTTTCGCAGGGACGGCTTTCCGTGTTGGATGGCGGCATGAGCAGCACCATCTCGACCTCGTCTTGGCCCGCAGCGTCATGCCCTTCTGGGCGACCAGCACGGCGACAAGAGACATACTTCGCCCATGCGCCAACATCGAACCGAACCCAGTTCAATCCAATGGCGCCAAACACCACTGCGAGCCCCACCAACTGAATTCCACTCAAAACGTGGTGGAATAACACGACGGACAACGCCACACTGAGCACTTTGCGCACGGTGCCAACGATCGCTGTGGTAAGCGCACCGAATTTGTTGATGCTGAAGAACAGGAAGGCTTGACCAATGGCCCCACTGAGACTCAGCGCGAGCAGCGGCATAATGGATACCGTCACCGTCGACATGACGTCGGGCAGCTCCCCCGACGCGACCACGCCCACAGCCGCCCACAGCGCCTTGTACCCGCTGAGCTGAAACATCAGGTCGAATGTTCCCACTGCATAATCGTGCATGTACTTGTCTTCGAGCGCCCCCGTCGCGCCGTCGCAAAGTAGAGACACCACCAAGAGCGCCATGCCAATGGCGAGGTCGGTGGGGTCGGCGTCCACGGGGCGAGGAGGCTGGATGTCTTGTGCGGTCGATGCGGAATGGAGGGTGGCGGCTGGACTGTGGTGGGCCGAACCAACGAGAAACACAGCCACCCCCAAGGACAGGAATACCACGGACACGTACTTTTTAACTGCGTACCGTTTGCCGAGTACAACCCCCAGCAACATGACAGGGATGGACTTGCACGACTTGCCCAAGATTCGTGTGATGAACGACACATACCTAAGGGCAAGGACCGAAGCCAAGGTGGATGTGTAGCTCAACACAGACAGGAAAATGTAGTGTTTGGCTGGCAGAGTGGACTTTGGTTCTTGGGAGACCTTCTTGAGTCCGATGGCCACGACGGCGTACAGGAACGCTGTGATCATCGTAAGAGATTGCTCGCCAATCGCATGAACGTTTGTCAGGCTTTCCAACGCCATGCCGTTGATTGTGAACGATGCCATGATGCCAGTGAACACGAATAGCATGAGCGACAGCTGGGACGCTGGTTTGGATGGCGGCGACAGTTGCAGTGAACACTCGGACATGGTCGATGTCTCAGCCTGGCGACAGCACGAATCCCCAGCTAATGGAACTGAACGATCGTGCTTGCCAGTACATAGCACGATTGCACTCGTGGCACGTTCAAGATCCGGTGGCATCGTCATGAGCTGCCCGTCGTGACATCCCATGGTCGACACGGTGAGCTAGCTGTGGAAATGTGGATGCATATGACGAAAGGACACAAAAGTGTCAGTTTTTAACCGTTTCAGAAGATACGCTCCTGCACATTACATTGGCTGATGGACGACCAATCGTGTGTCGGTTATCCCTTGAGTCATCCCTTTGTGGATTTTCATTGGTGCCGGGAGTAACCGATGCCCCTTGGGAACGAAACCGATGTCGCCCAAATTCAAGCTCTATTGTAACGAGCACGCCTTTGTACCGGTTTAAGCAAGCCATCTGACTAAGGGTATGTACTGTATAGTACATATTTGCATACCAGTATTGAGAGTATCGTGAAATGTGAGGTCGACAATTGACCATTTCAGTAGCTAACGGAGGGCGAAGTGGTGAATGAACTACTCTCACTTCGGGTGGATATTGGGGCAATGGCGGCAACCAGTCCCGCCACTTGCATTCCGCCGAATTCGTGGTAAAACACGGCCACTGACACGTCAATACTCACGACCTTTTGAACAGATTCAATCATCCCTGACGTGAGGAAGCCAGACTTGTTGATGGTAAACAAAGGAACGCTTAACCTGGCTTCAATGGCACTCAGAGCCACAAGGGTCCCAAATACGCTTGAGCTGATAGAAGGATCGCGCTGAATTCGCCGGTTGCCGCGACAGCAAAACGCTACCACAGTGCCTTGTACAAGTTCAGTCGGAACATAAGATCGTAAGCCCAACGGCAAACTCGTACGTGTAGTTGTCTTCAAAGGCTCCATCGCAAGCCAGCGATCCCCCATAAATGCCATATCAAACGTTTGTTTGTCGCTGGTGCTGATTTGAACATGCACGGGAGACGAAGGTTTGTGGTCGGACGTTCCGACAAAGAAGAAAGCCATGCCCACGGATAGAAGCGCTACTGACTTGTACTATTAAAATCTATTTTACTTTTGTGTACCACGTATCGCGTCCCAAACCGATAGGCCCCGAACACCATAATGGGGACGGATTTGCAGGACTTGGCCACACCTCGAGTGAAAAGGAACATGTAGCGCATTAACCATACGGACGTGACGACAGACACTAACCCCCAATAGGACAGCAATTCAAAATGCTTCGTCGGTTGAGTGTAAGCGAGGTTTTGCCAATGGTGTGGGCACTTGTAATGGCTTCGAGGGCCATGCCATTGATTGTGAACGAGGTCAGCGTTCCAGATATGCAGACGGCAAGAAGGGCGGGGCGCGAGCATACAAGCGTTGTGGTGCCAACCATCATCGTTGGACTTGGGGCTTCGACGGGAACGAGACCCCCGCGGGTTTGTATGGTGTCGGCATATACGCATGGGTAGCCATAGAAAGGCGATGTTGGAGATCAACTGTCTTCAAATCATCCTGTTTTCGTCGGTACTTTCAACGTGGCAAATTGGCATGGCTCGCAATCGGCTATGTACCCCCCTATGTACCTCCCATCATGGGCTTTAGACCTGACTCCGTAGTTTGATTATACAGAGACGCGCAATCGCTTTCCCCGAAACTATGGCGTCGTTAAACGACCACCTTTATGGTCCCGTGGCAGCTGACATTGTGCGTTGATGTGCACTGGCCGACAAGGTGTCAGATTATCGCATTCATCGACGAGGTTGAAGCTAATGCTATTAAAAAAATTGGCATATCAATTCATTTCGATACTGTGCAACTTGGCTCCACGGTGTTAGTCGTACATGTTGCGTATGACTTGGGGTCGGGTCGAGGTGTGACGTGGACACCCCCATGCTCCAACGACAAGGTAATGTGGGGTATTTGGACGGTCTATCCCTGGGAACGCCATCTTTCAGGCATCCTCGTGGGTATGGCTAAGCAGGGGTTGTACGTACAGCACTGGCAGTGTTCTGCAACAACTGGGGTTAAAGTCCAAAACCTATGGGACTGCAAGCTATGCAATTGCACCTATGGACTACAGTATTAAACCATCTTCACGAAATAGACCGCATCATGTGACTTCTGGCCACTTTCGTCACTAACGACGTTTTTCAATGAGTAGCCCACGCATTGCTACCAACCAACCCTTGCCTTGACCACATTGTAAGCTACGTCAACTGTCGAATTGAACTTGTTTGCTTGTTGGAGCACGCCTGAAGAATGTATCGGCGCGTCTAACTTGAGCGCAGACGTCACACAAGTCGTTAGGTGTCTGACATGCTGCAAGGTTTGAGTAGAATTGTGTATTATCATGCAACAAGGACAGCGAATCGATGGCTCTACTTCTTGGGGAGTTCTTCCTCAAACGCGAGACTGCATGTTGTCCACGTGGCCCCAACACCGGCGCCTGCGCCAAATCCTGTGAGGGCAGCGCGGCCAGCACTGGTGCGGGCCAGAACGAGGGAGGTCACGCCACCGGCCACGAGGCCTGCCGAGAAGTTCACCACGAAGCTTTCGACACACTTGTCCCATTTCTCCGAGATGCGGTATTCCGACGGCGTTGTGGAGTCCTTTTCAACGACAATCGCAGGCACTTGCGCCGCAACATCCTTCTTGACGTTGGCGGCAGGGGCAGTGGTAGGGGCGGAAGTGTCAGTCATCGCACCGGCAGGCGATATTCGGAAATGTGTTGACGTCGGCGGTGTGTTTTTTGTACCAGGGATTGGCCAAAAGAATCCACCAATCCAGTTGTTTCAAAATCGTTTAGTAAGGAATATTGTCCAATTACACACGTTTTTAACTAGTACACGAATGGGATTGGTTGAAATAACAACGGCGTCGGATTGGTTGATTTTGTCCAATGAAACGCAGTTGTCGCCCTCATTTCAAAGCACTGGTGTTTGTGTCACCTCCATTTTCGACGTCAATCCCAGGCCATGTTCGCGAGATCCATCAAGTCCTCGGTGCCGCGTGCTGTCCGAAACTTTGCGTAGGTGCTCCCTTCTATGTACATCACATGCATGGCGACGCTGATCGTCGTGTTATCTTCATTACCCAGGCATCGCGTGGACGTCGTGCTTAAAGAAGACGTGCCCAAGCTCGGGTTCCGTGGCGACGTCGTGGCCGTGAAGGCCGGGTACGCGCGTAACTTTCTCTACCCTGAGAAGAAGGCAGTATATGCGACAAAGCTCAACTTGGCTGCGTACAAGGTGGAGAAGACGTCGACCCTTGAGGAGGGCATCGACGCCGAACAAGAACGCATCCGCGAACAAATCGTCAAGCGGCTGTCGACGGTGACGCTCAAATTCAAACGTCACTGCACGACCCCCAAGCCCAACACCAAGTCCCCCGTCACTGCGCAGAACATTGTGGACAAACTCGAGTCCCAGCTTGGAATCAAAGTCGGGATCGCCCGCGTCATCTTGCCCGACCCTATCAAACTCGTTGGCAACCACAACGTCAAGATCCGTGTGGACGACTTCGTGGACGTGGAATTCGAAGCCGCCCAACAAGCCGCGGTCGCCGTGGAAGGTCAAGTCGCGGCGGCACCCATCAACCCCGACGCCCCCGTGAACGTGTCGTCCCAGACGGTGCTGCAGCAGTTTGCCACCGATCGCTACAAATCCAACTCCACCCAGGCGGAGGCCAAGGTGGCGGCCGTGGTTGTGCCCGAAGTTGATTCTAGCAAGCGACGACTGGCGACACTTAAAGTGCTTGTGGAACGTCGTTAATGACACCCCTTCCGTTGTACATTCTTAGCCGACCTTAGCCTCACGCAAAATGATTTGTCCCCATTGTTGTTAGCTGGCTACGTAGCTACACTACCTAACGTTAGTTGAAACCCAGTAGGTTGATTGACGATCGGTACCAAACCACAAGCCACATCAACAATATATTTCTCGGTGTCTTTTACTACTCGGAGTAATGATTTACAGTTAATTCTACCATACTATAATTAATAATACTGTAGTACAGTACTGTATGTACTATTAATTGTACCAGTATGCACTTGCAGAAAAAGTTCCTGTCCATTAGGGTTAATATCGGAAATAACATTGATAGTGTAGCCGGTGGTAGTGTGGCTGTGCTGCCTTTCATTTCAGCAGTACAGTCAGTACTAACGTTAGTATTGATATCATGATAATCATAACATCCCATCATCTCCACTAGTCGCTAGTAACCTAGCTACAATATTAGACCAAATGCGGTAGGCCGTACACGATCGGGTTGAATCGCACGCGCCCTTTGAGCGTGGTGCCGTTGTGCGGGGGTTTCGTGGCCATCACCCACACGTCCCCTGTGCGCTTGAGCGCTTTGGCCACTGGCACGCCCTTGGCCAGCTGGCCAAACAAGGTGGTGACCACGCGGTGGTTGGCCAGAAATGACGTGTTCCACTGGTTGGTCACGACGCAGTTGGCCCCGCAGAGCGACCACAGCACGGCGCTCTCCCAGCCATCCTCCAGGCTCAGTACGCGCTTGGGCTTGTGCGTGTCGAGCTTGCTCTGGCGGCGGTAGCTCGCGTAGTTCTCCATGCGACTCATGCTCACCACGAGATTGCACTTGGACGCGCTCAAACCCGCCACGTGCGACGGGGCAAAATGGGCCAGCGACCGGTTGGGGCCGTAAAAAAGGAGCCCCCCACCGCGGCGCCCAGTGAGCCCTGCCTGCCACTCGCCGGCGCTGGGCACGTACTTCTTGCCACTGAGGCCCTTGATACTGGGGGCATTGGATTTGAGAGCGGCTAACGTTGCTACGATCGTTGCAGTAGAGTGGGTGCAAAGTCGTTTGATGGGTAGAAGTGGGGTGGTGAAGGTACTACCATAAATAGAGTGGGGGTTGTCGGGACTGTCGGCGCCAGTGTCGTTCTGAGGATCGGCTATGTAGTACAGGTCGTCTTTCTTGTACGGGATAGCTTTGAGGTTCTGCAACCGGATGGACAACATGTGCACGGACAGGTCCCGTGCGTCCAACACGTCGACGAGGAGCGCTTCAAAGGGAATGCACTCCAAAGCTGGGTCGACCTACAAACTCTTAAGCATTGTTGTATCATGGTTAGATATGACAGCTTACAACAAACACGACGGTGGCGTCATCGCTCGTCGCTTTCGCCGCCTTGAGAGCCCCGTGGAAGCAGTCGAGGAACGGCCCGAGCAGCTGCTTGGCTTCGTCGACCAGCTGTTGAAACTGATCTTCCAAGGCATCTTCCGTCGGCATGTCTTCTTTGGAGGCCGGGGTGGGGTTGCCAAACTCAAACCAATCGTGTTCGCCTGTCATAGCGTCACTGATCTGCAACAGACCCTTGACGGTGGACGCACGCCACGCCTTGAGCTTGGCCGTGAGTTCTCGAAGCGCCACTCGACGTGGCGAATGCAATTCCAGACGCGCCAACAGCGGCAACCCACAAGTATTGGTGGTCGAGGTGCTGGTTGGGGACGCTAGCACGGCCCCGTAGAGGTAGCTCCCATCGGACGACAATTGCAGCGAAAAGAGGGTCATATGTGGCGGAACGTGGCTGAGGGTGGCATCGATGGACGACGTGACCGCAAGCCGCCGCCACGCCTCCGACTCATGCTCCAAGTACAGCGACGCCAGTTGGGCTGGCACAGACGTGGGTGGCAGCATATGGGTGCGCTGGACGAACAACGCCGTACGATTCGTCGGGGCGCTGGCTTCGAGCAACAGCCCTTCTGCCACCGCGCTCATGCGGCAGCTTTGATACCTACGAGTAGCGAGTAGGGTTGTTAACCTCCAAATCTTACAACATAGTATCATGTGTACCAAAGAAGGTGTTTGACGGCAATGGCGGGGTCGATACATCCAAAACATTGCATCAACTCATAAGTGCATTCTTGAATTGCCGGGCGATCTTTCTGCTTGAGGGCAATGTCCAGTGCCGATTGAATCAAACGAGTGCAATCGTCCAGGGCCTGGCTCAACCCTGTTGTTGTGGCTGGAACCCCTGCGGTGGATGGTGGAGGGGGAGTCGAGCACGCAATGCCTTGCTTGCGTAGCCCCTCGGTCGAGTACGTCCACACAGCATCGTTGTGCTGTAGTTGGAGCCGAAGACAGCGCCCGACGCTGGCAATGTACAGTGGCGACGGTGCCAATTGAGTCAACGTCACGGCCGCGTTAAAGTACAACAGCGCCTTATCAAGCGGCGGTAGCCGCATCTCGTCGGCAGTTTTCGCATGCTGCGGTGCGGTTTGTTCCAGCCACAGCTCGATCAAGTTCTTCTTCGCGTCGCATTCGACTTGGTACACGACCATGAGTTGCTCGTGGCCTAGCAAGTGCTGCTGCAACTCGAGCCGGCCCAACTGCGCTTTGACTTGAGCTAATATCGTGGCCAGCGCCACCGGATTCACCGCACTTGCATCCGCGTCCATGCGTGGATTGTCTGTGGCAGCCCACACATGCTCGAGAAAGCCATGCGCGACCAGCAGCACCTTCCTTGCTTGGTCGAGTATGTCCCCGTCCGATTCCGACTTGGAACCCCCGTCGCGCAAAGTGGACGTCAACACGTCGGCGTACCGTGACGCCACTGCGACCATGGCAAACGTGCCCCCCAGTTGGATCAACATCGACACTACGTCGGAGTACACCCGACCGGCTTCGGCCCACGTCCCGGTCCAGTCGCCCCCCGTCGCCAAGAGCATCCGGCTTTCGTGGACGAGGAGGTCGGCGTACGCCGCCTGCAACGCCGCCAGCCCCTCCACAAGGTCAATGTCCATAGAAACCGGCGGGGGGAGGTCGAGCTGGAGCTGGGTCGACGTGCGCGGCAGCTGCTTGGGCAAGTGGCTCACAACGTGAATCGCGTGCTGCAATGCCGCCTTGGCGACTTTGACCTGGCCTTGATCACGCAACAAAGTCGCGTACAGCGTCACATACTTTGCATACAACTGGATGCTCAATCCGTCCGTCGCCGCCGCGAGCTGCAAGTGGTGCAGCGCAGCGGTGCGCTCGCCCTCGATCCACAGCAGTTTACCTCGACATACATCCACACACGCCAGCGTTGTCGTGTCCCCCTCCGCTGCGCATTGGCGGCTGGCGACGTCTAGCAGTTGCTTGACTTGCAAGTGATAGCCGCAGTCCAGAAACAGGTCGGCGATCTCTGTGCACACGTGCAACACGTTGTATTTGGACGACACGATGGGGCGGTGTCGCAGACTCGCGACGGGTGTCGGCGATGGCTGCGTCGTGGCGATTTTCTCTGAGCTGCTGGACGGGGGGGAGTGGTTGGCGCCGTGCAAGGCGTCGATCGCACGTTTCAGACACTCTTGACTTTGACTGGTATATCCTAACACGCATAGCACTTTGGCAAGTTGCAAGTCCACTAGGAGGGGCAGGAGGGGCAAGTCGTCACCGAGGGCGGCTAAGGACGACGTGGTGGTGGTTGCTGTGCCGATGACCACCGCTTTGGCAAGCCACAAGCACGGCAGCACATGGGGATGTTGGTGAAAGTCGAGCGCCAGTTGCGTCAGTTTAGACAAGTAATGGATGGTCAGCGTTGGCTGGGTCACGTTGCCAGGGTGCAGCATCAGCAGCGACGTTTTGGCGAGGGTTGTGTGGCCACACAACATCGGAACGTGGGGTTGAAGATCGAACGCTGCCCATTCGGCGGTCGAAGGGGGAACGACGAGCCCCGGGGTGACAGACGTGGACGCCATGTTGAGTGCTTTCCACTCGTCAAAGTCGTCGTACACTTGTGCCTTGTCGTGATCATCTGCGCTGCTCTCATGCTCTGCATTTTGCTGCTGGTAGGCTTCGAACAGCTCGCGATACTGCAAATTCACGTGCTCGTTGGCCAGCGCGTCCCACATACTGGCGACGTGGGCCAGCGCCACAAGAACGTACTCGAGCCGCTCTCGAAAGGACCGCGACGCCAGCGCCAGCATCACGTAGACACGCAACAGGAGGTCTAGATGCCACCACTCCATGGGCGGCACGACGTCGCCGTCCTTTCGCTTTTTCGCCCCGCCGCCCTTCTTGGCGACGCCCTTCATGCCACCTTGATCTCGATGGACCACTGGCAACAACGTGTGAATCGCTCCTACAAGCAATCATCCCCCGCTTAGCCCCTCGAATCACCCCCTTAGCAATCATAACCCCCCGCCCACACAATAATAGTAGATGGGGGGATTCATAATGAACCCCAATTTTGTGATGGATGAAGAGTGTATGGATTGTACCATGCAGCTGGTCGTGGACGTCTTGCAGGGGGAACTGGTTGGTGTAGAACCACTCGGCAATTTCCACGAGAAACTGCGCCTGCTCCACTTTGCCCGTCAAGTCCTTGACCGCTCTGTACAGCGCCTTGTACTGCGCCCCGGGGTCCGTCGTCGACGCCGCAATGCGCTTACTCACCCGGGCTTGCAGCAACACATCGTTTTCTTTCATCTTGGCAAACCCGTCCGCAACGCTCTTGCCCAATTTGGACATGAAGATTACCCTGTAGCGCCACAGCGGCCGTTGGGCGGACGAAGGAATTACGACAAAGGCGGCTTCGACTGTCGACAGACCCGCCTCCCACGCCTGCAACTCCTCGTAGGTGTCGAGCAGGGCGCAGACAAAATCCACTCGGAAAGAGTACTGCGTCGAGTCGACGGCCGTGAGGTGGTCCAGCATCGTATGCATGTCGAGCGTCAACTTGCGACGGAACGATGGGTTGGGCGACCCGTTGACGTCTAATATACCCAGCATGCCGTTCCACATGATCCGAGCGGCAGTTTGCACCAGCGATGGGGTGCCCGCGTGTACGGCAAACTCGGCGCCCAACAACAAATGTTTAATCGCAAACAGTGCTACATGAGTCGATTAGCATTCGAAAGTATGCGTCATTAGTAGACTGTATGCAGGTCTATAATCATTCTATCTCTAGCCATGAAGAACCCGTCCGTAGTACATATTAATGACCACACGTGGGCAGTCATGTCGTGGATTCTACAGCATTTTTGGTAGTGGGGGGCGTTCCACTTCGACAACTATAAGAGTTGTTTAGCCTTACCGAGCTCATGCTTGACATCTTTTTCTTGGGCTTCCGTGTCGGTCGCGAGCTGGAGAATCGCCTGCGCCCACACGACCTGGGCGAGCGCGTACCATCGCCAGATAGCTTTGGTCAAGAACGCGGGGGGGATGTCGCTGGCCTGGAGCGGCGCCACGGCTTGCTCGCAGAACTTTTGGGCGTCGGTCATTTTGTGTAGGGCCAACGCTGCTTTGGCCAGGCGCACCCATATTTCCGCGTGAAACTCGCGCTTTTGCTGCTCCGATTCTAGCACTGGTTCCACGACCGCATTGCGTCCAAACATGTCGGTGGCAAAGGGCAGCCACAACTGCATGGCTTTTTGAAAATACGTGGCCGCCTTGTCGAGCAGTGTCTTTTCGTCGTCGCCAGTTGAACGCGATGACGTGGCAGCCGCTCCACTTTCGGTGGCGACCGATGTCGCATGCAGCGCGTCCACTTGCACTTCGAGCGCTTTGATGCACGACACGACCTTCATGGGCGTCGAGTCCCCCACCACGGCGTCCTTCACCCCGCGCTCCAACTGCACCCTTGTTTTGATCTCGATCAATGCTTTCCGGTGCAAAATGGGGAGCTGGTCGCTTCGTTTCAAGACTGCATCCACGACAGTATCCATGCGGTTTGCATCTCCCCGATGAATCATGGTCAAGCCTTGGGCGATGCAGCTGACAAGCGGCAATTGCTGTTGCTGGTCATTGGGGTGATTGACTGACTGCTCTGGAGCCACAAGCGCTTGAAACACTGTGTCGAACGCGGCGGCGACATCAGGCATCACCACGTCGAGTTGGTGGTGGTCGTTGCGAAAGAGATGGCAGTGGTAGTTCCATAAATACGTGGCAGCGTTGTGCACAACCCACGCCGCTTTGGTGTCCAACCCCCGCTGTAAACCCAGCATTATCTCGGCCACCACTTGCGTTTTGCACGTGGCGATGGTCGCGAGGGGCTCTAACTCAGTAGATGTGCCGTCACACACAATACTAGTGCCCAACCTCAAATCGCTCGTCAACACGGACGGATCCTTCTCGTACGCCTTGATTTCATCCACGTATGTTTCCGCCAACACAAAGTGTAGCTCCCCTATTCATCCCCAAATGACATTTGGAACGATAGGTCGATTAATCGGTTGATTCACATTTGAAGGGTACTCTACCTTGGAGAATCGACTGGGATTGGTCCATTCCAAACGGATACTTGAGCGCCCTCGCAGCGGCCTTTCGAGTCATCGCCGCGTTTTTTAGTTCCCACGCTAACTTGGCCATGTCGTGCCACAACGCAAAGCGTTCCAGCACAACCGACGGTGTATGTTCTACGGGAACATTAGCCTCGAGCAGCGCAATCGCTTTGTGCAACAAAGTGGCCTTGAGGGCCTTGTCGTGGGCTTCCTTGGACTGCTCCACGAGGATCAGCGCTTGGTCTTCAATGGCATCTGGTTCGCCGTACAAGTTGGATTTGAGGTCCAGCACGCGTTTGAGGGGCATCAGGTGTTTGTCCAACAGTCGTGAAACTTCTTCTGGGGATGGTGACGAGGACGAAGAAGAAGGGGGAGCGTGGGAGGCCTTGCCTTTGACATGCACGTCGGGCAACGACGAGGTTTTCCCGACTCCGGGGGCGGTCCCGTCGTGTAGTCCGATTTTGCTTGGCTGTTCCGTTGGTGTCCCCCCGTAGTCCAATTGCAGCGCTTTATTCACGTGGACGCTGGCTTTGGCCAAGTAGTCGCACTCCATTTCGCACTTGGCGGATTCGAAGTGCATTTGGGCGCGAAGGGCGACCAGGGGGCTTTCCAGTTCCTCCAGCAGGGTCGTCGCAGACTGAAACAACCGATGCACGTGCTTTCGAAGGTGCGATTCGACCAACGGAAGCGCAACGTTCCACGCAAAAAGACAAATGTCCTGAATCAAATGGGGCTGACCCACGCGCTTTGCCGCGGCCAACGAGCGTTCTACAGAAACGATGTTTACAACACTTGTCTATGAGTATCTTTGGCGTACCCAACACTTTGACACACTCGACATGGCGCGCGAGGCGGTGCGCTTCGCGCTGTCTTGTGTCCAAATGCACAACTTTGGCCTGGCCTCCTGTCGTTGTCGTCGGTGTTGGAGCTGGATGGGGGGGCGCTGCCGGGACAGGGGCGCCTTTTTGACCGGCAACAATGGGGGGGTTCGCTGGGGTAGTGGGGATCGGAGAAGGAGCTGGCTTGTTCGGCTCGAGCGCGAGATAACAACGCAGCAGGTCGGCCATGATGCGAGCGGAGGCGTTGAGTCGTTTGCTGCTGCCGACAAGGCGCTCGCAGGTTTTACCAATGTCAGAGTGATGGCATTGAACTGCGACGATGCCCAATTCGACGATGGTTTCCCACTCGAGGGATCCTACTGACCGTCGGATATTTATAAAACAAGATGAATACGTTTGTTTACCATCGTCGGGAATGTCATGTCCTACGGCGTCTAGCTTGACCCCCGTCGTGGCCGCAAAGAGGTCGACGAGGGCGGCGCGGACGCTTTCGGGGGGCGTAAGTTCGGACTTGATCGACTGCAAGTTAAACAGCATCACATGGCGCTTGGAGACCATGTTCTTTTTCGCTGCCGCCTAGCATTATCGTTCACTTAAGCATCCAGAATGAAGAACGGTCGTACCAGCGCTTTGGCACATTCGGCGTCTTTGTGCCGCCCAAAATGCACTTGCAACAGGGACGCTTCCTCGAACAACGAAGTTGCGGTCGCCAACGCTGCCGCTGTGCCCGTCGCAATGGCAGGCGCATTGGTGACAGCGGTCGCAGCTGCCTGGTCGGAAGGGGGCTTGGCCGCGGCCACGAGGGCAAGCGCGTGATCGACGGCGTCATTGATGACTTTAGCCGCTTTCCCGAGCTGGTTGTCGTCCTCATAGCTCGTGGCAAGGGTGATCTCGTACCGCACGATCCACGCCTTGTCAGCTTCGTTGATGGCCTTGAGACCGTCCAGCATGGTCTGCATCGACTCGATGACGTGGCGCGCGCTGCCGGGTCGGAGCAAAGGTCTAGCCACGTGCCAATACGTGACGGTGGCGTTGTACACGAGAAAGTCGTAGTGCGGTCGGCTGGCGGGTTCGAGCGCGAGCTTGACGGCGACGAGGATCCAGTGAATCGCGTGCTGGACCTGGCTTACACAGGCGTGGCCTTGGAGGGCCCGGGCGTGCTGCGCAAGGCATTTGGCCCGCACAAACAGCGCGCGACAGTAAAACTAGCATTATTGTCCCGTACGAGGATGAGGACGGGCGGATGGAAGGGGTAGGTGGATCGACGTACATACCTGGTCCCGGGGGGACGATAGGGTCAAGTACCACGCGACGCAAGCTTCGGCGGTGGCAAAGTCTAGCTCTTTCTCGGCCACCTCGGCCACACAGGGCAGGAGCTCCGTGAGCCGGAGCTGGTCTTCATCGAACGACCCGGATTGTGTCCATCCGCGCAGCTTGTCGAGCAGATCTTTGGCATGCGGTGTCGACGAATGTTTCAGGCTCAACTTGATCGCGTCCGCCGTGGGCAACGTCGCCTTGAGCGTGAGATCGTGGCGGATGTCCTCAAGGTTTCGCCGGAGTTCCAAGTCCAGATCCATCGCAACGACAACGAGCGACAAAGAAGTATATGCTTGCTTTTTTTCGAAGTTAAGAACAACAACAGGCAGTCCTAGTTGGTGAAATCGCGAAACTGTTAACGTTATGGTGCTTATGGTGCTTAACGTTATGGCATGCGGAACGGCGAAACCGATACTACTTTGCATGGGCACTTTGCATGGCACTTTGGACCAAGCTAAGGGCATACAATAAGTACCCTTGTCGGTCACCTCAAGTATTCACAAAATTCTCCCACTGGATATGATTCTAACGTCGACGATGGGTGGCGCACAATGAGAATGTGCGTGTACAGTACAGTATATATACATGCAATTTGGTGTGCTGACACTTCTCTTCCACTTGCCGAGAACGTCACGACACTTGGCCATTCCTTGGCGAACGCAGCACATCCCCCACCAAACCACCATGTTGTGGATGTCATCAGCCCAACACCTCGCTCGTCCCCCCCAACACATTGCGTTCACTCCCCCCAATGTACAAAAGTGTCGTTAACATTACGTAATTACAGGTCGTCCACGTTGAGGCTTTGGGTGGCGTTGGCCGCCGCAGCAGTCAAGATGGCTTCGTGTGTTTGTTCGTCGACGTGGAGGTCGTCCAAGAGTTCGTCCAATGGGATCGCACCGTCGTCGTCGTCGTCCATGTCCTGGTCGTCGTCGTGGTCGTCGTTGGCTTTGTAAATGTTGATACGCGCCCGCATCTCCTTGTCCTCTTCCAAGTCGTTCAAAAAGTGCTCGTAGTCGAGATCGTGTTTGGTTTGGTCGGCTTTCTTCAACGGCACCGCCGGCTCGACGCCCTCGATCGTCTTGAGCTTCCACTTGCGCGTGCGCTTTTGCACGCGACGGAGGAACTGCTTGCGCACGAGGATCACGTCCGGAAGTGAAATGCCCGCCTCATCCAGCGGCTTGGTGTCTAGGTCGTTGAAGACGGACGTCGACAGGTCGTATCCCATCGCCGTGTCCCCCACGTTGAGCAGCATGCCGAGGTGGGTCACCGTGTTAAAGTGCGTGTCGTTGACGCCTACCAACGATTCGTTATATCATTTATCCATACAATACATTCATAATATTTCAACGATTTAAAGAATTGATATAAAAAGATAACAAGTTCAAAAAAAGATACTATTATCAAGGAAAATAATTTTATTAACAAGTATATCCACCAAACACAACAATGTATTTCTATTTATATATATATATATACCGATGTCTACCTACTCACCCAAGAAACAAGTAAAATAACATAGATCCACCCAATTCATGGACACACACATGCTTGCAACCAAACATGGGAAGTTGCAAGAGGAGAGGGATAAATATATATATATTGCATACCGAAATCCGTGTTGCGCACGACATCGAGGTCAGCCAGCCGCGTCTTGCGGTTGGTGCGCACGGGCACGCCGCCCTTGGTGGGCATCTCCAGCGGCGTCGAGTCGAGCACAGTGTACTCGGTGAGCTGCTTGGACGACCGAAGCGCCTTGAACGGCGTGCGCCAGAACTTGTCGTTGTCGATCTCGGCGCGCTGCATCGTAAACGGGTCGATGACGTGGATGGACGACGACACTTGGGTCACGAGGCACAGAGACGAGATGTTGCCCAGCTGACGCGCCAGCTTGAGCGGCAGCGCGACCAGGTCGTCCTTACACACGGGCGCAATGTCCACGGCGTACGTGAACTTGTAGTTGGCCGTGTTGGAATGGTTGTCTGCGGAAATGAGCTTCTTGGCCGTGCGGATCCTGGTCCAAAAAGCAAAATATCAGTATTTAGGATTTCCAATAAATCGTAGAAACTGCGATACAGTCGTCACAAGGTGGTCAGTCAGTCGGAGGTGTACCCGTGGTTGGAAGTGCTCGGATAAAAATACTTTTTAAAAAAGATAAGTAATCATACTCATTTTACACAGTACATTTCGTTGATGAAATGATGTCTTGGATGATTTATGATTTTAGGTCGATATATATATATATATATTAATATTTGTCGAAACATGAGAAAGACACCAAAAAATCGAAACAAAATTCGGTGAAAAGTGTGAAACATTGTCGATCGTTTGGATATCAAACCATTGAAAAAAATATATATATATATATAAAAAATTGAACAATTTCAGCCAATAGTCATGAACGTAGATATTATTTCGACGTACGAAATCGGGACAGTTTCTTGCAAAAAGTCGACAAAGCGCAGCGCGTGGTTGCGCTCGACAAAGAAAAAGTCGACGCCGTCCGGCTGAGACTCGATGGACGTGGTCTTCTCGTGCACGCGATGCTTCAAGATGAGTTGCTCCAGGAAGAAGAACGTTCGCTTGTGTTCGACCTGTAACAAATGTGTCAGCAACAACAACGCGATATGCAAATATGCGATTACCTTTTGGCGGACTTGGACCACCGCCTTCCACGAGTGGTTGGTAAACGACGCTTGGCAGTCGTCGCACTGTTGGTTGCGCACGATAAACGTGACAATGAACGACTGCTGGAGGATCGCGCCGTTCATGACTTCCTTCTGCACCGTGAGTTTGAGCTTGAGGCGCTTCGAGTGCGGTTCCGTCCAGATCCACCCGGCGTCCACGAGCTTGACTTTGTTTAGGCCCGTGATCTTCTTCAGACAAATGGCCAGCAGTTCGCGCGATTCCAAGTCTGCCGACACCCATTGCGGCCGCGACCATCTAAAGCATGTCAGACCAAACAGATTGCAACGGCAGCAAAGGAAGGAAGGATACGTCGACGTACTTGAGGCAGCCTCGGCATTGATGCATGATGATTTCCTTGGGGATGCCTTCGGTCACGTCGACCTGCCCTTTCAAGCAACTCACGCACATGTTGGCGGCATTCGCTTTGATGGCCACGGCACAGATGCAGCAGAGACTGAGGAAGAACCACGGTCAGCATGGGATGTGTGCCGCATGTAGCGATAGATGGTCATTGGCTTACATGTCTGGCAGCTCATGGTCGGGCACATACACGCTCATCTTGACGGCGCTTGAAGTTGCAAGAATAAAGGAAGGGAGGGTTGCCCTTCAACCCGCGGCCAATCGTTTTGTTGGCGGCCGAAGGAAGGTGTGTGATTGGTCAATTTGGATATTTCAATTTCAGCCAATCATGTCGTTGCAGGATGTTTCGATTTCCACCGAGACGGTTCGAATTCTCCATTTGCCACCACCCAACCACATGGACGGAAGCATGACACCAGCGCCGACGCCGGGCGGCACCGCCGGCGAGTACGGCTCTTCTGCAGCCATGCTGAAGGACCCTGAAATCAAATACATCTGCGGGGACTGCGGCATTGTCAATTACCTTGCCGCCCGTGACCCCATTCGATGCCGTGCGTGCGGGTACCGCATCATGTACAAGGCGCGCACCAAGCGGCTGATCCAATTTGAAGCCAGATAAACACCAGCCACGATCCTTACCTAACTCAATCCACCTATATGCCATGACTACATGTGTTTCAAGTGAAATCGAAGGAGCTAGCTCGCATCCCTTATCGACACTCATACAACCCACACCCCAAGACAGACACGCGAATGAAAAGCATGCAATGCATAGAGCGTTGTTATCCTCTTTTAATTCAACTCTTGCAATGTCGCGAGTGCCGTGGACGACGGGAACACGCGCGTGGCGCGCCAGTGGACGTCGTTGGCTTCCTTGTGCAGACCGCGTTCGCGGTAGAATTGCACGTACTCAACCCACACATCTACATATCCATCCACACAACCGTCAATCGATCTTCCTTCATAAGCCCAACACAATATAAACGCACCTTCGTCGGTTTGGCCAAACAAGTCGACGACCTTCTCCATAAGCCCTTTGACCGCTGCGTTCGCCGCAGGCGTCACTTCTTGCGCGGCTTCCACCAGCACGCACCACCGCAGCAACGCCAGCGTGTCTGCTTGCGGCAGCATCTGACCGTTGAGGAAGCTCTTGTACAGCGTCCGCGCCGCCTCCACGCCTTGCGTGCGAAGGGTCCACTGGAGGAATTGCATGCGCAGCGTTGACCACGCCGCTGTCCATGGCGTCGCCGCCTTGAGCGCTCGCTAGATGACATCAGCTTTCCATCTTCCAGTCTTGAATGGGGGAGATGTCCATTCTAGACTATCAATGGCCAGATAGACTTACGTGAAAAGCGTTTTTCTGGCGCCCGAGCGAACTGGTCCCGCCCTGGCTCAGGAGTAGCTGGACGTGGCGCTGCCACAAGCCGTCCGTGTCGACTGTAGCCACACGAAGCCCTTGCTCCACGACGGTCAACGCCGTCTTGTACACGGAGGAGGAGGATGACGTCGGTTGTTTCTTGGCGCGCTTCGAAGCTGGCGTCGGCACTTGGACTTGCTGGACGGACGCGAGACGAAGCACTAGTTGAGCTCGCAGTTGCCAGAGGGTGCCAAATGTAGGGAACGCCGCGGTGGCTTTGGCGGCGACGGCCACGGCGGCCTCTAGCCCCGTCACGCGAAGGGTGTAGTCAATGTACACGGCGTACAGCGTTGATGATAGCGGGCCCAGCGTTTCAATGGTTTTGGCCATCTCGGCACCAAACCAAGGCGACTGCAAACGAATCAAACACCAATGTCAGTACTTTAGTGTAGAGATTGGAGAGTAGTAGTGATGTGTGTCCGTACACTGGGCGTGCGAGCCAATTCAGAGACACACCAATGCATGAAAGCATTGCGCATCGCGTCGGCGTCGACAGTGGACGTGATGGCTTGTTGAAAGCGCTACGACGCCGTGTATATGTCATGTTAGCCCAGTTTGAGGACCAGGGATTGAATGGGGTATATGGAGAAGACCAACAGCAGGGGGAAAAATCCCAAGGAAAACGCCCCAGTACCTCCAGCGCGACCTTGCGGCGGGAATCGACGTCGGCGCTGTCGCTTTCGTGCATGGCTTGTTCACAGAAGGAGCTCCACACGGTGGCATCATTGGGAAAGTCCGCGAGGGTCGAATCCAAGATGAACTTGGCCACGGGATGGCCATACGTGGCCGGAAACAGGTTGCAAATGGCGATGAATGCCAGTCGGAACGCCGCATTTTGTGGGATGGCTAAGGGTCATATTTCATGGGAAGTTGCCCAATGTTGTTTAGATTGTACCTTGAATAGCGTTGCGGAAGACAATCTTGGGAATCGCGCCCTGGAGGATCTCTTGACGGGATTTTTCCGTGCTGGATTCCGAGTCCGTGGTAGCGTCAATTGGGGCATCTTCCCCATCCACTGGGGCAATGTCCAAGGACAATTCCTTGGGCTTGGTCTTCTCCGTGTCCAGACCTAGCACTTCTCGACGCGTGCTACAAGTAGACATTTACATGTGTGTCGTACATACAATATATATATATATAGATATATATATATATGTGTACAAGGATATGAAATGTATATTGGTATTACCGAAGCTTCTGGACATAAAGGAACTCGAGACGAAAGTATTCGAGCCACAGCTTTTGCGAGTGCGGGTTGATACGAATGGACCGTTGGAGCAGCACTAGACAAGTGTCGTTACTTAGAGATGTAAATTGGAATCGGGTGCTCAATTGGATAAGCCGAATCACCAAATAGGCAGACAATCAAAGATCGCCCAATCAAAATCCACAACACTCATAAAGTAGCCAATCAAATCCACTGTTCGACCAATTTAACATCGAATTAGTGTGTGAATGAAATTCGTGTGACACTGGACCATTTTTATATACAAAAGTCAGTCAGTATAAGGAATCGATCGATAGATTTGGCGAATCAGCACAAAAGTCAACCAAATTTTGGGTAAAAGGACAATATTTGTTGCTGTGTACAAGTTTGCTTGAAAGGTGGTGGAGGTTACCTCGAGCCGAGTCGACGTTCAGGTTGGTGGCAAACTCCCAAGCAGCCGCTTCGATCCAAATTGCTTCGTTGCGAGGATGCAGTTGCAGTGCACTAGTAGAGGAGCATTGAGAGGGCATTGGCATATATATATATGACGTAGCTATGGGAATATTGGTAAGAGAGATGGGTTTACTTGGTGAAGAGCTTGGACAAGAGCTTGGAGCTGCCAGTGTTCTTGCAAAACGCAATGTGCTGCAGCCACAAGTCGACATCACCACGATGTTTCATCAACGCACGATCAAAGATGTTGTGCACACGTTGCATGCCCGAGTGGTCACTCAGAGACAGTTTGGTCAGACCTACGGGTGTCATGGCAAGAAGATTGTGGGTACGGCTGATGTATGGAGCAACGTGGACTATGTATACCCATGCGTTTCTTGCGCTGGCGGCGGAGTGCGTCCAAGTTGAGCTCGTACTCAATATAACGCAAGCAATCCACTTTACGCAACGGCGTCCGCTTCATCGTGTATTCAAAGTCACGCCGCTTCTGCACAATCTGTCGGACCTCATCCTGCAAACACACATGTCGTGAGCTGCGATGCCGCCGGTCATACACACCTTGGTGAAGATCTGCAGATGTTGGAGATCTTCCAGCTCTGGAATCATCTTTTCCATCACATATTGAACTGCGTCGGCCATGTTTCTCGTTCAGGTGGTGGCGCGGCGGTGTGGCGGGGCGGCAGCAAGATCAAGTGCCACCAATTCCTGTGTTTTGACTGGTTTGGAGTTCCTGGTGATATGATTGGCCAACATTTGTGTCCATAGACCAATCCAAACCCTTGATTGAGTTGACCAATCAGAGATGGTACGCTCGTAATTCCAAGGAGATGGGATGGCATGCCACCGAGTCTGTGGCATCCCTGTACTACCGGGTGGCCCACAGTGACAAGAGGGCAACATCTCCCAGCACAACATCCTGCACAGCACTCAAACTGAAAGAGCTTTTGTGGTAGTACTAATTTAGCCAGCCCAGAATGGATGGCCTTGCTTAGCTTAGCTGTAGCGTTAGATTGCCATAACGCTACCAATTATGCATGGGCTTGTGAGTGCATTGCAACCCTCCACGTACAACGTTACTGTAACGTTAACGCACTCCGCACATGCAGCTCGTCGTGTTCTGAAACTTTCAACAGCATTCATGTCATTGTAAAATACTGGTATCAATTCGTCTACAATCCCACTGGTTCACGACGACGGAGCAACGCTTCATTGCCCTGCGATCTTTCATATACAATGCGACGAGCCTTCGGTTCCATGTAATTATCATTTCCAGTACGTCCACCGCCAACCAGACATACTAATGTTAGAACTTGTTTACCAAGCAAAGTGGGCTTGTCTGTAATTCAAGAGATTAACTATTCTAACTACATACTAATAATGTTAGTACGCGTTTACCAAGTAATGTGGGCTTGTTTGTGATTAAAGAGATTAACTATTCTAACGTCACGAGGGCTTTTATACTGCTTTCTGCTAACTACCACAAACAAAATTGCAAAGACCATTTCAAACTACCCCCGTGATGATGTGTCTCATACTGACGTGCAAATAATGGGGTATCCATCATGAATTGTCGGAGTAGCAAGGTATATTCATCGACGGCATCATCGCGGGGTTGCTTGCACACACACACAAGTCCATACAAAACCCAATCATAAACGTTCTTCTACCAATGGAGTCTTGAGCGAACGACGAACGGGCCCGACGTTCCAAAGCGTACCAGTGTATTTATCGGGTTTACACGATTTACAAAGGAATGAAGCGGTTTTGGTGCGCGGCGTTGATACCGGGGCGACCGTGGGCCACAGGCTTGTACGTGATGGACAGTTCACCCAAGTAGTGACCGATCATCTCAGGCTACAACACATTAGCGCATTAGCCACCAAAAAATACATGATGGATATGGAACAGGACGACATGCAAGCTCTTTTGGGTCGCCCCGTACACAGAACATCACAAGGGAAGGCGAGTCGAGGCGCGTGTAGGTCAATCTCGTTCGAGATTGAAGCTACACGCGGCTGCTCTTCGGGTCCAGGCCCGCCTTCCCCAAGAGCTAGTGACTGTAGTTCTGGATCGCACCTTGATTTCCACGCCGTTGAAGGCCTTGCCGTTGTACACACCGACGACCGAGCCGATCATTTCAGGCACGATGATCATGTTACGCAAGTGGGTCTTGATACCACGCGGGCGTTCCAAAGGCTTGGCTTCCTGCTTGGCCTTACGCAGACGCTTGATCAAAGCCATGGGCTTGCGCTTCAAGCCGCGCGAGAAGCGTCGGCGGGCACGAGCGTTGACGAGTTCCATCAACTCTTCGTGGTTCAAGTCCAACAACTTGTCCAAGTCGACACCACGGTAGGTGAACTTCTTGAAGGCACGCTTCTTGCGTTGGGCAGCGATTTCGATAAGGTCAGCTTCGTCCTATTCATTCCACCGACCACCATGATGAATACGAGGCACGGACAAGAGGACACACATATGTGGTGGACGCACCATGGTTGGTACACTTTGCAAAGTGAAAGGAACATGCCAGCGCCAATTATACCCCACCCTAAAACGACTGGTTGTCCCTAATACAAATCGTTTGCACCAATGAAATCGAAGGAGTTTGTCATTTTAAGTGCGAAACTTTCAAGTCCAAATATTGGCGAAAATATTGATGATATATTGCGCCGATGATCATATTGACGATTTGTTGCTCCACGATATGCAAATTTAGCGGGGTAATATGGGGGCTAGATCTATCAATTACTAGTAAATACATGAATGAGAATGCGCCTACGCGACGCACAGAGGTGTTTGGCACTGATACAGATCTACGTGAAGGAGTCACAACAATAAATTGCATGTGGCTTTCCGAACTATAAGTTTTGACTGACATGCTTGGAATGTGCCGTTAGAATCCACAACCATCAACCGCATACAAAGCTGCGCGAACAGAATGGTGTACCGGTACGCGGAAAACATTGCTAACTAGCAATAGGAATACAGTAGTACGACAACTTTCTAGTTGTATAAACAACCATAAAGTCGTCCTTGCGACTCGTATATAGACATTGAACCATGCAAAAGTTTTGCAATTCGAGGCAATTTCCAAATCATTTTCACCAGTTTTCAAAGACATCCTTTAAGTACGACGTATTTAGCACAACCAATAGTATTATTTTGTCCACGCTTACAAACACCAAGTGAAGTGTAATAAAAACACATTCCCAAGGCACGCTATCCAATCTTTTCGACGGTCGAGCCGACCGAGTGTCATTAACACTTCAGACGCGTGTCTCCTTCTTCAGGTTCAACTCGACTCCGTTAAGACATCAAGATGGGCATCTCTATGGAACGCAAGGGCGAATACTTCATCAAGTTGGAGAACTTGTTGGAAACGTACAACAAGATCTTCTTGGTGTCCGTGGACAACGTCGGGTCCAACCAGATCCAGCAAATCCGTATCGCGTTGCGCGGCACGGCCGAGGTGCTCATGGGCAAGAACACGATGATCCGCAAGGTCTTCAACAACTTCGTCCGCAAGAACCCTGGTCACCCCCTCGAAGCGTTGATCCCTGCCCTCCGCGGCAACGTCGGCTTTGTGTTCACCAACGGTGACCTCGGCAAGGTGCGCGAAACGTTGGAAGCCAACAAGGTGCCTGCCCCCGCGCGTGTCAACGCCGTGGCCCCCGTCGATGTGTGGTGCCCTGCCGGTCCCACCGGTTGCGACCCCGGCCAGACTTCGTTCTTCCAAGCCTTGCAAATCGGTACCAAGATCCAAAAGGGTCAAATTGAAATCGTCGCCGACGTGCTCTTGACCAAGGCCGGCGAAAAGGTCGGTAACTCCGAAGCCGTCTTGTTGCAAAAGTTGAACATCCGCCCGTTCTCGTATGGTTTGATCATTGTCAGCGTGTACGACAACGGTTCCATCTTCGACCCCGCTGTCTTGGACTTGACCGAAGACAACTTGACCCAAAAGTTCGTCGCCGGTCTCCGCAACGTGGCCGCGTTCTCGCTGGCGTTGGGCTTCCCTACGCTCGCGTCGATCCCTCACTCGTTGGCCAACGCCTTCAAGACCCTCGTTGCCATTGCCGTGGAATCGGAAAACTTCTCCTTCAAGAAGGCCGACCCGTTCAAGGCGTACTTGGCTGATCCGTCCGCGTTCGCCTCGGCGGCCCCTGCTGCCGCCGGTGGTGCTGCCCCGGCCGCCGCCGCCGCTGCCCCCGTGGAAGAAGATGAAGAAGCTGATGTCGGTGCCGGTGACATGTTTGGCGGCTCGGACTATTAAGCGATTGTTGGTTGCAACACGTTTGCCTTGACGACTGTACGGGGTGCACGCATCCCATGAAGTGTTAAGTAATATGACAAGTGCCTACCTGTCAATTCGTCTTCAGTAGCTGTACTGGTTGGTGTTGAGAAGGGTACCTTTCATGTCAACCTACGAGTCGTCAGGGCTGCCACTGCGATAGATATACTTCGGGCCATGGTCATTTTTGAGTTTATGACATCTGAGCATCTCACTGATTGGTTGGTTGGTTTGCCCAATCACACGACATGACGGTTTCAGGTTCGCACTTTCTGCGATGAAGCGGCGTCCGCCCGCTGCCGCGGCGGAAGCGGACCACTTGGGGACGTTCACGAAGCTGGCGCTGGATATCGAGAAGTGCCAGAGGTACAACCCATCTCTATGGGACGTGGTGCTCAATCGGTCCAACAAAAGTTTGGAAAAGTTCGCCAAAGCTAGCACCACTAAGACACGCAAACGTGCGCGCGGGCCTTCGTCGTCCTCAACCCCAACGACGTTTCCTGCAGTGAACACGTCGACGGCACCGTTGACACTAAGCTCGTACCTCCATCAACCTGATATGGTCCGAGAGATGCTACTAGAGCTCCAACCAGAACACCCGGCCGAGGTCCTTCCCGAGAACAGAAGTCGGTCGACAATGCCCATGGATAAACCTCCACCGATCCCGCGGCCTTCGCCCCCCATTCCGTCGATCACACCGACACCTTCACCCACGAAGCTCCCCATCTTGAATGTCGTCACCCCGCGAACAAGGCAATGGATCGGGCGGCTTCCGCCGCCTCGAGAAGCCGACTGGGCGGCCATCAATCAGCTGGAGTCCGTAGCGGACGACGCCGTTGCTCGACGCGCCAATGTCATCGACAATTTACACAAGCCACATTCGCTCTACGGCAAATTGCACCACCATCGAAAGAGTCCTCGAAAAGACGGTCGTTCCGACAGCCGTCGTCGCCGCGACGCCGCCTCTCGCTACGCTGCTGACACGAGTCCTACCAATTCAACAGTGACGAAATCAATCCAAGTTGCCAACGCCAGTCGGCTCCGGATGGACCAAGAAACTGCGCTCATGCACCAGGAAGACCACCACCACACACCTCCTCTAACAACCTCGTTCGACGACGAAAGGCAACGGGTGGCTACAGAAGTCACCACACTGGTGGAAGGGATCGGGTCACCCCAAGCCAAATATCCCCTCCATCAACCGCACCATGTGGCGTTGGAGACGGACCATCGCGTGTCCGTCCTGTTGTCTGAATCCACAGGCAAAGCCCATCAAGACGCCACCGCGGCCGTCGACGCGACCCTCGCGTCCATTCAGAAACTCGTACCAAACACAATTCACTTGCTCAACACAAAGAAAGTCTCACGTTTGATTCTGTAGGTGCCGCTGGAACTCATTTACGCCCATGGCCAAGGACGGTACGCGTCCATGCAGATCCAGCGCGCCATGAGCATGGTGCACCAAGCGTTGCTTCGGCTGGTCAAGCGGCAGTTTGTGGTGGCGTGGTCGAGGTGGCAGCAGCACACATGTCACGCCCGAGAAAGGGAGCGGCGGCAAGCTGTGATCGTGATACAGTGCGCATGGCGACGGGTGTTGGCGCGCCGGGAAGTGCATATTCGACGGGGCTTACGGCGCAAACAAGAGGAGCGGGAGAAGTACCTCTTGCGGATGTTGCTGGCCCGACAGAACGACGCCGCTGCGTGCATCACTCGACATCTTCGAAGGTACGTGGTCGTCGTTCCTTCCAAGCCGTTCGAGTGCAATAACCCCTCAATAGATACGTGGCAGTCTGTCATGCAAGAAAGGAACGCAAGCGGAACGTTGCGGCGTTGCGTATTCAGCGCTTTATTCGACGGCGGCACGGCCTGTGGGCTCGCTTTGCTCGATTTCTTCAACACCAGCGGGACATGCACGCTGCCACGTGTATTCAAAAGCATATCCGTGCCCATTTAGCCCGCGCCAAGGTAAGTTAGACTCATAGTTCAAAGCACCAGATGAAGCAGCCATTTGACATGACAAAACGATGGGTAGACGCGATTGGTGCGGAAATTACGCGCCGTGGACCGCCGCCGTGCTCTCCTGACGGCACACTTGGAAGCCAGAGCCCATGCCTTGCGTCTTGTGGGAGCGGCGCTCACCGTTCAGCGCAACTTTCGGCGGCGACAGGTCGCTCGTCGCGCCAAATTCGGCGCCATGCGACGCCGCCACGCCAAAAAGGTCGTGGCGGCCGTCAAGGTGCAGAGCATTGCGCGCATGTACTTGGCCAGGAGGCTGCGGTGTCACATGCAAACAACGTTTGCCAAGGCGGCACTGGTGATTCAATGCGCCTTTCGTCGACATTGCAGGTGGAATGAAAACCTATGTGACAAAGATTGCGAGAAGATTGACTTGTGGTTGGTGTAGCCTAAGCCAGCGGCAACAACGAAAACAAGTCGTCGCGGACGATCGAAAGCGGCGCATCTCCAAGAAGAAAGAACTCCGCCGCGAAAAGAAACAGCGCCAAAAAGCCAAGGCCAAGGCAAACCAGGCCACGAAGATGTGGATGGCCTTGCAAGATACGGCTAGCACCGTCAATAAGACACGACTCAAGTGGATGCAAATGGAGCCACCACAAGCCGCCACGGTCATCCAGGGCGTGTGGAAAGGCTTCAAGACGCGCCAGCGGCTCAAGCGTCAAGTGGCCAAGGACAAGGAGCGAGCCCGCCGGCAATCCAACAGCGCCAAACGACGTACGTGGCTGTATATTCTCGTTGGTGTCTGGAGCGATCGCACATTTCGCGCCCGTAGTCGCGGCAACTTGCATTCAACGACACGTCCGCGGGATGCTGGGGCGCCGGCGGTTTTGGGTCGCGCTCGTGAATCGGTTTGCGAGTTCGATCCAACGGTTGTTTCGAAATCGCAAAGCCCGGCGGGACATTGCCCTGATGCGAGCGTATGTGAAAGCCGCGCGGTTGATTCAATCGCGCTGGATCCACAAGTACGTTTTTAGCAGAGAAGTTACAATAGTAGGGAATATCAAGCGATGCTAAACACTTACTCGGTGTCAGCCACCCCCTATATCGTTGGTGTTCACAGTGTTTTACTATCATAAACGTACAATTCCTTGTAGAAAAGAATTTGTCGTGTTTCGAAGACGACGACGGGCGGCGGTGGCCATTCAATCGATTGCGCGTATGTTTATAGCCACACGGCGATATGTCCAGCGGATGCAAGCCTTCCACCGCCAGTTGGAACTTCGTGTGGTGGGCCAAGTGCTGTTTGCCCAACGGACCCTCGACGTCGTGCAAACGCAACTGCTTCAACTGAGCTGGCAATATGCGACAGAGTCCAAGAAACATCTCCCTCCCCCACAGCAGCAGCCAGGGGGCGCCAATGTCCAACGTTCTTTGTACAAGCGCAGTGACAACGGCACGTGGACAACGACCGGTTGCTTTGGGTTGTGGCAAAAGATCTACTTGGACATATGTCGACATGGCAACACGTCGGACGCTGTCGAAATCGGTACGAGGATATATATGTATAACGTTATCTAACGTTAATAAACGTTGTTTGTTTCGGGATGCGCAGACAACATGCGCTTTTCGCGCTTTGTCAAGGAGATCCCTGGCATGCTCCACAAGTCACTGTGTCCGCTTCAAAACGTCGACGTAGCGTTTGCAAAGTTCAAGCCCGCGAAGGGCCGCACCATGCCCTTCTCAGGTATTTAGCCCACGATTGATACTTCAGCTGCGGACTGTTTCGTCGTTGGTGTCGTACATATGAGGATTTCGATCACCCTCTTGCTACTAGGATTCCATAAAGCCATGTCGTACTTGCTCACGCTTCGGTATCCAGACAAACCTCCCAACCAGTACACCATGGAGCAGCGGTTCCTGCTGTTCATGCACCAATTGGTGCTCGTGTCCAAGTTTGGGGAGGTTTATCGGCTAGCCTTGGCCACGTCCGCCATGGAACGAGGTGGATGGGCAGCACATGTCATTCAATCCATGTATCGCCATCGACAGCAGCAGCGACAGCACCAAGCGTTTGTGGTACTCCTGCATTCGCATTGTAACTGGATAATACGTATCATTGAACGCAGCTCTGACCTCCCAGCGATCGACAATTCCACCAGAGATAGTATATGTTTTTCATCTCGTGTGACGTAGGCTCGGTTCCTCGTGCTGCGCCGCCAAGACGAAGAGCGACGGGCCGCCACTTTGCTCCAAACCAAGTGGCGCCAACGCCTCGCCACACTTCAGTTTCAATCGCTCGTGTGCGACACGTTTGTCGAGTACGTCGACTGGAAGAGCGGCGCATGTTCGTACAAGAACCTCGTCACACACACGACCACGTACAGCCGCCCGGCGCTCCTGCGGGGCCTCACGCCGTCCGTGTCCATCAAGCTGCCCCCCCCCGGCGAGGAATTTGTCGTCTTGTGTACGTCCATACATACCATGTGTTTTTCCAAGGATCACGGTGGCTATTTCACCACGGAATTGGCAGGCTGCCGCCACGAAACACAACCTCGCCAACTTGCCACGACGTTTTGTCTGGTAGGTCCTGCCATTGCACTTGGACGCATCTACAGACTTGTTGTAGGCGTGTGAAGACGCCATGTGTTCCGACTGCTTTGACCGGGAGCACAAGGCGAAAGCGTTTGCCGCCCATACGACAACCCGCATTCGAATGTGCCACTTGTGCTCCAAACACACGGCGTCCCGGGTCTGCAACCAAGTACGAAACAACAACTTTACGACCGGTTCAACGTCAAGAATGTTTGTCCTGGTAGTGCCAAGACGGCAACGTACCGTACTGTGACACGTGCTATCCGCATTACCACAAGGGCAAATTCGCTGGTCATACATTTACGGCGCTGGTGTTTCTATGCGTCGAATGCGGCGACAGAGTTGGCCGGTGGCGGTGTGCCACGTGTACCGATCTCTTTTGCAAAAAGGTAACAACTAACGAGAATATAAAACAACTAACGAGAATATAACACTAAAGACCTCCTCTCTCTCTCTCTCCCTTTCTCTAGTGCTTTTCAAACTTTCACCGCAAAGGACAACGACAGAACCATGTCATGGAAGCAGTGTCGTATCTGGCCGTGGAGGCTAAAAGTGCGCAGGACGTGCGGCTGCATGAGAAGGAGCTAGAACAAGCGGAAGCCCTCCGCGCGCTAGACGTTAGCCGGCAAGTGGCAGCGATCGAACTGCAAAAGCAAGAGATCGCGGCATTGTTGATTCAAACTGCATATCGAGGTTGAAATTACTGGAGTAGTTGATGCCATGGAGTAGTTCATTGACATCCTGACATAGCCAAGCGAGGACGCGTGGAAGGCCAGGCGTATATGAAAGCGGTGCGTGTGTCCTACATATTCACAACCCTCACCTAAACCATGATACACAGGTGCGCCATACGAATCGGATGGTCTACCAGCGCCTCAAAGACGACTCAGTGCGCAGTGCGTTTACGTACAAGCTGCGCAAAGTGGTGGGGATGGCGCCTGTGTTGGCCTCCGACACCATCGAAGAGGTCCAAGCCGTGCAGCTCCGCAAAGACAAGATCGTCAACGCACTGGGGCTTGCCACGTATGACCACACCAAAGGTTGTTGTCGGGGGCGCCTTATCGATGTATTTTTGACATGTTTCTATCGCAGGCCCCCCACCGTGGTGTCAATACAATGTCCCCGTGGAAATCCTCGTCGGCGACTTCAAATCGTGCGTTGCTACGGTGGTATGTACTTATGTATGGGGGACTTTCTTGGCTTCGCAAAATGTGATGGAATATTGAATGGCTGAGAATGAGCGACCAACGTGCAGGTGTCGACGGCGCAAGTGGTGGCGTCGGGGCTGGTCATGGTGCACGTGACCGCGGCCAACAAGTCGGTGACGTTACCGCTGGCAGCGCTGAAACCACTAGGTGACAACGCGTCTCCTTCGAAAGTCCTTCAGTTGGTGGACACTGTCGGCAACGCCGCGCACAAGTTGCAAGTGTCGTTGCTGGATCGAATAGAGAAGAAGCGGCACAATTTAAAGCTGCGGCACCACCGCACCGAATTCAAAGACCTCGAGGAGTATGCGTGGGTGGAACTGCCACGCGAACCAGTATCGCCACCTGCGAACGACAACGCGGCGGCTAGTCCGCGGCAGCATAATGTGGCAACCAAAACGACGTGGTGGAACGTTGTGACCAACAGTACGAGGAATCGTTTGCCGTTCGAGCCCCCCATTTGGTTATTGTCGTAAGCTCGTACAAACGATAGTGTTGAACTAGGCAAAACCTCGGTCAAACCCCATGGAGTCAAAGCGATGGAAACGATGGAGCCAGGTGCTCGAGAAGACATGCAAGCTCAAATCCAAGACGCCCACGACAAGTTGGTCAAAATCGAGACTAAGTCGGACCGGCAACGGTACATAGTTATCACGTCTTTCATGTTTGCATTTTGTGTGCAAACTCGATTCTAGGCGTGCGAGCGTCGACACTGCGTTTAGCCAGGTCAACGCGAAAGCCATCGACGACGCCCTGTTTTGGCACGACAGCCTGTGGAGCCACCCCCGAGTGGGCAAGAAGGCGCGCGACCTGGTCAAGGAACTGCCCACAGACGACCTGCGACGCGCCGTGCAATTGCTGGCCCGAGTCGGCAGCCCTAGTACCGGTACTAACGTTATCGACGAAGACCCAACATGGGAGAAAATGGTGCTCAAGTTTTGCGCGCTGAAAACGGCCGAGAAGAAGGAGTTGCTGACGGAAACACAAGACATGAATGCAGCCGACGCCAGAGCTGTGCTGTGGAGTGTCGTGGACCCAAAGGCCAAGGAATCAGCAGCAGACGAGTGACCAGGGACATGTGGATATCTGATAGCACTGTGACGTTGCCACTCGTGTGCGACAAGTGCTAGTTGACTGGGAAATACAGGTACCGGTTCCACGTTTTACTGTGTGCCTCGCAGTGTTCTTTTACCGCCCCCCGACGACTTAAAAATATCCTGGTTGCGAGGCGTGCTACAACACTGTGTTGGGGCTGCACTGCTAGGAGTATACTGTATGCAATCAAGACGAAGGCGATGCTGGACAAATTACACTTGGTGCTGTAGGTGGAAGGAATGTGTACATTTGAGTCAGGCCTTGATGTAACGTTAGGTACACTTGCATTTGCATCGTGACATCGCGATAGAAATAGGACTAATGGCTGGTACAGTAAGTACTGTATGAGTCAAAGTAAAAAGAGGTGGAAGTGTGCTGTATCAGGCTACGTAGGACGCCGGACCCACGCCAACTTGGTTCAGTCGTCAAATGAAGAACCGAAATCTCCAAGCAAACACCTTGTTTGGATTCAAACGCATGGTCGGTCGACCTGCACCGTACATTTACACATTTACATGGCTGACGTGGTTTGTCCCAATATCCCAGTGACCTGGCATATGTGACAGTCCTTGCGTTACATCAAGGGACAGCGAACCGAAATGCCTACAATGTCCTACAGTACAACCACCGCACACGACACTATCACCTTGGCATGTTGCACCCCAGGAATATTAGCTACTACATAGTACTAGCTTTGAGAGCCAACCTGGTCTTCGTGTCGGCGGTCTAGGGTTCTCAAGCGGGTTTGCCCCAAAGAGTTGTCGGGAAATACCATCATCTGGGACATGTGTCGTTGCTGTGGGACATATGATGTGGGTGCGATTTCCCCTGTTGGATTCGTCGACTTTATCAAACTGGCGTTTCAAGTTGGAATACCTCAAAGCTCAACCAATCACAGTTGCGTATTCAACTTTTAAACCAATCAAACACCAGGATAATTTCATGTTTATTCATGTTTATTGAAAAAATCGATGAAATTCAACATCAGGTGGAAAATTGATGGTGATTGGCGCTTGCAGTTCAACAATTTCTAGGCGAATCATTCTGAATTTTGTCATGCAGCCCCTCAACGCTGTCATGACGGTCCTGCCTTCGAACAACATCATGGCGCAGCCTCGCCGCAGCGGTCTCAAGCGTAAAGCAACGTCCCCCTTGAAGCGTGTCCAGTTCTCCGTTGCCACCGAGTACACATTCCAAGTTGGGTGCGCGGCCACTGCGATCCCCCACGACAGTGTGCCAGGTGTGGGCCTTGAAGGACCTGCAATTCGCATAGAAACCACTGCCATTCATGAAAAGCGAAGCCAACTTATGATGTACACCCATCGGGATCGCGTGTGCCTCTTGCGCCGCGCGGGGTACTCCATCGCCGACTTGAACCAACAAAGCCGCGACCTCCAAGCCATCCAGAAGTCCCGCATGGAAACAGTGAACGAGTACATTAAAGAGCGACGGGAAGCTATTGCGTTGCAAACTAGAGAGCAAATGGACCTCGCGCGACTCCTTTGCTAGTCGTCGCAACAGTATTTTAGCCTTTAGGGCCACATAGGATAATTAATTTCAGGCTCTTCTCTTCCCCCGTTAACTGACTGATCTCTGTTTATCTTTCCTGTTGAGCCAAGAATACGCCATCAGGACGACATTCCTATATACATAATGAAGGCACCATATTCGCCCGTCTACGAGCTCTTCCCATCAGACCAGCAGCATTACAAGTGACGGCGGTGACTTGTGTGCCGCGCCGCGTCCCCCGACGTCGTCGTGCTTGAGTAGCCAAAGTGACAAGGGACGTTTCAATGTCCCAATATCCCATGTCTAGGGCAAGCTCAAGCATACTGAATGCTAGTCACAAAAACGTGTGGTATTTTCCACATTCGAAAATCCCAACGTCACTACAAGTACCCACTAACAGTAAGTAGTACAGTACTGCAGTTCAGTACTAGTACTACAGTAGTAGTAATATAAATGAAATTATGTAGTGATTCATTTATATGAGGTTTTACTGACTGTTAGTTTCTGTTGACTGTGAATTTTGATTCTCAATCACTTCGCTAAATATATACCTTTACCCTCTGTTCCTTCTCATTGGAAAGGAATTTATACTTTGTATGGGTAGGCAATGACTAGTAGGTACTAGCTACTACTAGTAGAAAGTATCTGTAGTGTTGAAAATACAAGTAATGCAAAAATACCTCTCCAATTGTTGAGCTTTTGATGCATTTACGCCAATTTATACGCCAACCCAGAGTAGATGATGGTCAATCATTTTTCGAACCGCCTGCATTTGTTCCCAAACAGATGTAGTACTTACTGTACAGTCAGTATGATTGACTATTAATAGTACTACAGTGCAGTACTACAGTATATTGACTCCGTCGTACACTAGTCTACTAGTAGTACTAGTAGTACTAGTATACGTATACTATTATAGTACAGTAGTATGTACCGTCGTTTGAAGCTGCCTGCGACACAGGCAGGTGGAGATGAATCAATTACATGCCTGAACTAGCTGTAGGAGACAGAATGACGCCAGTACTGAGGTGGCGGTAGTGTTTGGGAATGCCTAACCTCTCGCTAACGCCCTGAAGAGACATATAGATGGTCGACGATGACGGTGGTTCCGTGTTCAACTAGAGTTATAGAGGGAAGGTCTATCGTGCCGGACGTTGTGTTGTGGAAACGAAGGTTCCGTTGGGAAAGCAACTTCATATGGCCTTATCGACGTCAGACATTTATTGGGGACTGACACACACTCGCCTCATGTCTGCTTGGGGCATCGAAGTCGACGGTATAAAAGAGCGTCATATTTTCCTTGACTTCGAACAGTCTGCCTTTGCCTCCTTCCGCAAGCCCAGAGGGCTCTATGAGATTGGCAATGCTTCGAGCGAGTGTAAGGTTGTTCGGTCGTTCATTCCAATTAGTGACGAACGTAAGTGGGTAAATTATCTAGCGGATTCAAACATCCAATTTTCAGTTAGTTTGCCGTACTCGACACCCAGTCTAACGTTCGTGAATCTATGATAAATAATTCAGTTGAGCCAGCACGATGTGAGCAATACTTGTCGTAAGGAGCGCAATAACTCCCAGACCCCTCCCTTGAGCAGCGAGTCACCACGCTACTGTACCAAGCACTCGTCAGAAGTGCCATCGCGTGGACTGACCTCCAGACGCACTGAGGGGGTAATGTACTCTGACGACGCGGCCCGAATGGGCCCTGCTTGCGGCAGTTCCGGCGCAATTGTCATGCCCCGCGGCAGTCCCCCCTCTTGTGCGAGTACACCGCACACTACATTCCTACGGCAACCACCAATAACCAAGCCGAATACGACGGCCTTATTCGGACCTTACAGCTAGCAGCGGCCCGCGGTATAACTCACCTCACGAACTTTGGAGATAGCTAACTCCTTGTTCGATGCTTACCACGTTGCCCACCCGGCCTCCGTCAGCCTTACATTCGGGCGCGCCTCCTGGCAACTCCTTCACCTGCATGTGCCGACACCGGTTCCGCGAAGGAAACTAGGCCGCTGATTTTCTATCCAAACAAGCCCTCGATGACTGCACTACGTACACATCCTTGGAGGGGACACAGCTTTGCTTTTTTCCACCCCGGCACGCCGCGTCGCTCTACGATTTCCTCGATTTGGACCTCGCGTTTGACCCTGGTTGACCTTCCATATCCCCAATAGCGTAGCTGTGTCTGTATAAGTTACCCGTACTACATCATGATCATCCTGGAAATATGTACGAGCTAGTAAATTGGAAGAGATGAGTTCTTAACTGATGGACAAGGGGGCTACGAATCCACTTCGATACAGTAGTGTGGCTAATTTTCACACGTAATGCCAGCGTCCTCCTTTTAAGATTTCCTGCACCTGGAGTGATTTCGGCTAACACATCTTGGAAACTTGGCAAGCCCCATCACAAGGTACTTGTAACTTACTTATCTACTGGTAGACCTTTGAAGCAACTTCCAGCAACGTCACATGTACTGTACATAGCAATTACTACGCAGTACTAACTTAAATGTATCACAGCGTTATGCGCAATGCATGCCCCAATGTGACAAGGAAACACCTAACCCCCAACAAACGAATGGTGATCGTTTGCAACGTAATGTACTAACGTTAGTGTTCGCTACGATGGCGAAGGCAATTACAACGGTAATGTTAGCCCATACTACTAGGTAACTGCTTGACGAAGTAACTTGGCGTATGCTCCAAGTTACACACGAGTTCCCTTATCCAGTGTATGGACCCCGCCTACAGGGTGAAAACGGAAACTCGACCACACAACGGTTTCCCCATCCGTCCCCTGAGCTACTGGTTCCTTGCAACGGAGTTGAACCTTTTAGCGTTCCATATTTGTGTTTTGAGGGCCGCGACGTCTTGATGGGTTCCGTGGTGGTTATCACACCGCTGTAGTACAATGTACTCTGCTTACTAGTACAATTTACTCTGAACTTGCAAATGGGATTGATATCGCTAAGTCTCTCGAATGCCACTTGTCCACAGGGTGTAGGGATAGGGTAATTATGGAATGGCGACCTAAACCACGATTAACGGATGGTTGTTGAACGTTCGACGAGGGTGGCAGCATATGAGACGAGTGGGGCGTGCGCGACTGTATCTTTTAGGCACAGTCAGGTCTCGCAATTTTCATGGCGACGTATTTCTTGATTCATCACATGCTTCCACATCCGTCATCAATGCACACGCTGCCTCCCCTCGCCGAGGACGGCGATTTGCTGGCATTTATGGACGACACGATCTTTGCAGCAGCGTCCAAGACCCACATCCCTTGCAATCTGTCGTCGTCGACCCCCTGCCTGTTGTCCCCTCGTTCAAACCATACTACCGACCACGATACCAGCGACGATGGCATGATGTCGGTTCCTCCCTTAGAGAAATGCGAACGGCGGAAACAGCAAATTCGAGATGCGTCGCGGCGGTGTCGAATCAAGCAGCGCACGGAAGTCATGACCCTACGAGCGCGGGTGGCCGAGCTCGAAGCCCGCGTGGCGGCTGGTGAAAAATTGCAGCGAGACCACGAGATGCGGCAGCGGCAGGTGGAGCTGCTGGAGCGCGAGATCGCAGGCTTGCGGGTCGAGTTGTATAAGTCTCGACACTTGCTTGGGAGCATTTGAGATCTTCTGCCATGACGTGCGCATATCGGTAGCTCTAGCCTGTCGAACGTGACAATTATTTATGCATGTACTTCGAAGCATGTATTGCAATGCGAAAGGTCAATTTTGGGGACTGGCCAATTGATGGTTTGGTGCTCAATATGAATAGCAGCCATCCTTACTTCATGGAATTAAGGACTGCTGCTGCTGCGTTGTCCCATCGAATGCAATACAAATCAAGTCCTCGCCCTAGAATCCACTCAAAAATGTGCATATCATTTTCAGCCGTGATGACCCTTCCTTCGCCCCAACTCAAAGATTCGTTCACAGTTAGCTACAGTGTAACCACGGTAGACGTACCGGTACTGCGTACTACTAGTAATAACGTTACTATAGTAAGTACTATTAATACGTAGTACTCTGGAGTATATGTTAACTCTGTGAACCTAACCAATCAAAACCAATCTATTAAGTACGAGGAGCCAATCAACATCGAGTGTCATTTCTGGTCGAATGGCGGCATCACGGTGAGTCCTTGGAAACCGTCGGCTATGAGCATGAATGACACTAACATGCAGGACGAAAGCTGCTACGAAAGTGGTGTTCTCTGGTATCCAGCCCACGGGTGTCCCGCACTTGGGCAACTACTGCGGGGCAGTATCCAAGTGGGTCACATTGCAACAGCAGCAGACCACGGATGTGTCGTTGTACAGCATTGTCGACTTGCATGCCATCACACTTCCATACGACCCGTCGACGCTGCAAGCCAACATCCATGGCCTCTTGGCATCGCTCCTTGGGTGTGGACTCGACCCGAAGAAGAGCATCTTATTCAAACAGTCCGACATCGTTCAGCACTCGGAGCTCGCGTGGCTGCTCAGCTGCGTCACGCCGCTGTCGTGGATGCAGCGCATGACTCAGTTCAAGCAAAAGAGTCAGCAAAAGGACTCCAACGCCGTGTCTCTAGGGTAAACCAACTACCCATGTTTCCACCAACCACTTTGACGCTTGACAGGTTGCTATCGTACCCGGCACTCATGGCGGCCGACGTGCTGCTGTACAAAGCCACGCATGTCCCAGTTGGAGAAGACCAGCAGCAGCACTTGGAGCTAGCTCGGATGATCGCCACGACCTTCAACGATCGGTTCCAAACCAACTTGTTTCCGAAACCCATTCCCCAACGAGGTAACAAAGCTCGGTGTGGTCGCGACATTCCTCATCAGTGTCGCAGACGACCCGAACGACGCGCTGGTGCGCATTATGAGTTTGCGAGACCCTACTCAAAAGATGAGCAAGTCGGACATTTCGACCCAGAGCCGCATTGACCTCACAGGTACATCGCTGGTGTCAACCATATGCTTCACGGATTAGTTTGTAGATTCGCCTGATGTCATTGTGAAGAAGATTCGAAAGGCGCAGACAGATGCCATTCCTGGCATCTCGTACGACAAGGCGGGACGCCCTGGCGTGTCCAACTTGATGAGTATCCTCAGTGCTGTCACAGGCCACAGTGTCGACGATATCCAAGGGCAATATGGGGTGCACATTGCATACGTATATCCCCACAGAACTCACTAAAAACGCCCTTGTAGAGCCACCAAACCGGCCAGTTCAAGCAAGTGGTCGCTGACGCAGTTGTGGCAAAGTCAGTAACATTGAATGACATTGTTATCCGTTGACCCACTTTGCTGTCAGGATCGCACCCATTGGCCAGCGGATCCAGACGTACCAAGCCGACCCAGCCTTCTTGAACGACGTCTTGCGCAACGGCCGCGACGCCGCGGCGGCCATCGCTGCCGACACGATGGTCGAAGTCAAGGCAGCGATGGGGCTGTAAAGTCCATCAAGCACGGCCACAACTGGAGTTAATCGATAGAGAGAATAAGGGATACATGTGTTTGGTCGTTACTTGGCAGTTTATATGGATCGAGGTGGGTTGGGAGGAGGATAGCTTACGAAGACCACGATAAGCGGGGCCACCGCGACTGCTGCCGTTGGGCTATTGACAGATCGCGCTCGTCTTCGAACCGCACGATGGCGGCGGTGGCCGAGTCCAGCTGCGTCTTGAGGAGCGTAAGTTGGTCGTCCATGGCTCGCATTTGATGCTCGAGTCGTCGGAACCGCATGTCGACGTCGAGCTGCTTCTGGTACTCGCGCTCGTTGGCCTTGCGTTCCTTCTCCTTGCTGCTCTTGCTGCTGCGGTCGTACTCGTACGCAGCCACGGCCACGGCCACGGAGAAGATGAGCACTTCACCGAGGAACTCGGCGCCCTTCTCCACAGCTTGATCAATAGGCAGCTCTTTGATTTGAACAGACCGGGTGTTGATTTGACCTTGCACGCTCATTTGAATCTTGAGCATCGCTCGATTCTGGTGCTGGCCCACCGAATTACACACGGTGCTGAGCCATGGATGTGTCTTAGCGTGCGACTTGAGGGCCTTCGCCACCGGCTTGGTCAACGTCCGAAGCAGCAACCCGCCGACCTTGAACAGCGGAATGGCCACCATTTTAACGGTGATGTGGCGGCGATGTCCACGGTAGCGAGTCGTATCAAGTTCCAGGGGTATATCCGGTGTACGGATAAACACTCACCATGGGGTAGAGATTGGAATGGTGTGTTGTTTCAGTGCTTTGGTGAGAAGCTTCTGTTTGCTTTCTTGTCAATCATGCTGTGTCCTTGCAACACTCCGGAGAAATCAGTTTGGCCACTGGACGCACTTTTTTTCTGTCGACTGCCAGATCCCCACTACTACTGTAGCCGCGGCTGTTCCCCGCCATTCCGAGGCGTCACAATGAGCTCTAACCAAGTCCACCACAACAGCTACCCACGCATCGAGTTTACTCAAGACGTGTACGAGAAACACTTGGGCAACATGGAGCGCATTGCCACGCTAGCCCTCGCTGGCCGCAGCGGGTGGGACAAGGCCACCGCTACCCCCGCGCACGGTTGGTCCCGGTTGACCGACAACGCGGGGTGGCAAGTGCTGTCGCTTCAAGCGCCCTCCCCTGGTGTGCACGAGTACCTCTGCTTTGGCACGCTGCGGACGTCGTTGGTGGCACTGCAGCACGCCTTCTACGTTAAAAACACGTACGAGTTCAGGGCGTTGAGCGCCGTCATGTACGAAGACACGATCGCCGACGCCGCGCTACTGAACATCACGCACCGTCAGACGGCGGCCGACGTGGGCCAGTTCTTTGGGGTGAAATATTTAAAGCTGCTCGTCCAAGTGCTGAACGAAGAGGACCAAGAGCAAGAGTATGTCTACTTGGAGGTAGGACTGGCTGCTCAAGTATGATATATATTTTTTGACCTTTCTACAGTTTTCAGGGACGCGAGTGGACGCCCTCGGTCGCCGGACGTGGTTTGTCGTGACAGAGCCCGTGGCCATCAAATCTGCATCCGACTCCGATCCATCGTCCAGCATCTCGTCCAGCGGGAATAGCAGGGGGTCCCATGCCTCGGAGCCATTTCACAAGAGTATTTCATTTGGAGAACGCTGTTCGTGCGTGAAACTGTATCGAGAAACGTATGACGGGTGCGTGGAAGTGACAGTGCGCACCAAGTTGGAGGCAGGGGGAGGTAGGTGCCAACTACAATCGTACGTTCAACATGTGGTGCAATGTTGATAGTATATATACATATATATGTATAACTCACTATTGTTTATGCTCAAATCCCCCAGGCAACCCCGAAGCCAGCGTCAAATTGCACGGATCGGCAGCAGCGTTGGCGAGGAAGGCAGGCCAGCTCGTGTTTTGGAAAAGCATGGGCGTGTTCATTCCCAGCGGACTTGCAAAGGACCTCCTCAGCTTGTGTCGTACCGGATGCGTTCCTGAATCGGTGCGGTTGACCACTGGATCATTTGCTCCATCTTGGGAGCACGGCAAGTATGAGCATATATATATATATATATATATATATATAACGTTATATATTCCTTGACCTGCTTTGATATATCAGTGTTGACAACAACATTGCCCTTTGTAGCAAGTGCAAAGTGTGCTTCAAGTTTTTCAACCTGTTGCGTCGCAAGCACCACTGCCGTCGATGTGGCTCGGTATGGATACTTTTTTTTTCTATATTTGATTTCAATAGTTTAGTATATATATATCTATCTATATACACATAAGTCTGTACTATGATACGATTGTAATATATTTTGCGTCTTGGGTCGTTGTGAATGTCCTAGTCCATGTGCAGCGCGTGCACAGTGGCGTTGCATTGCGTGGACCGACCGACGAAATCGCGCACCAGCGAGGCGGTGGCAGTCGAAAAGTTCTGCAAGTCGTGCTTGGTGCAGGCCAAGATTGACACGATGCGAGTGGACGGGGACGCAGGTCGAGGTGGGGGGCGGCGAAGGGGGGGGTCGGACGACGGGACGACCCACAGCGTCGTCATGAGCGACTCCAACAAGCGCGTGGCCCATCTGCATTCCCCTACCCGAAACGCCAACGGGGACCGTACGTACTCGAGTACGACATGAGCCACACATGTCTATAAACATGGCGGTAGATTTCTTCTTGAACGAGTTGCAAAGCGTCTACAGCTCCAGTGGTTTCGTCCCACCAGTGGACCAGGTGCCGCCGCCGCCAGCGATGATTCTGGGCGGGGCGTTGAAGCTGCACCGACAGACGAGTTCCACCATCACAATGTCGACGAGCAGCCGATACACCCCCGCCATCTCGACGATGTCGACGGACTTTTCAGAATTTGACTTGTCCGTCCATCGGCATGCACCTGAAAAAGCAGCCGCAGCGTCGACTATCATGCGTGGCTCCAACCAACAACGAACTGGCCATGAAGCCAACCAACCGCGCCCCCCCTTCCCGAACCAAGCCGATGCCACCTCGGGGTGGGACCTGCTCCGTTCCAAGTTTGAAATGGTGAAATTGGCCGACGAAGCCGATCGTACAAGGAGTGGAAGTGACCACTTTCAACACCTATTCCAACAGCCCACCACCGAGTCCACGTCAGAGCACCCGAATCGGCGATATAGTAGCCGCGCCCCTCCGTCGAACCAGCAGCAACGATATTAACAAGTATTAGCGATCTCCGTCGTTTAAGCCTGTAGGGTCCTTGCTCAAGCGGATAAGTGGGTTCAGGTGTGCAATGTCGAGTGCAATCCTGGCAAGCGAGCCCATCAATCCTGGGTGAAATGATGTTTGAACTAGGTGGGGCTACCTGCAGTCAGTAGTACTGTACATACTCACGAATACATTGGTTGAAGCAATCGTGATGGGAAGGGGTGTCTGTCGTCGTTTGGTCATTCATTTACTTACAGTTAAGTACTATTAATACGCATTACTCCGGAGTATAAAAGGGGACTAGTAG